CCCCCCGGGAAAACCCTGCGTGAAGTCCCCCATCTTTTGCCGGGCCAACTACGTCAATGGCGTTCCGGTATACCCGCACTGACCGCGAAAACTCGGCGCCAAGGCGACAAGCCAGAGAAGAAATACCGAAGCTCATCGTATTTCGCCTTGGTATAGGAACAAGAGTCGACCAAGAATCGACAAGTCTTTCTCGGCAAAAAACGGGGTGGGGGCTCTGGCGCAAAGGGAAAAAAGCATGTGGGGGGAAACAGAGAGGCGGACCCGGTTTTTCGAGGAGATCGAGTGGATGCGGTCGGGGGGGGCTAAAACATCGCGCGCCGACCGAAAATCGTCATCTTCCCTCGGCCCTCCGCCTTTCCATTGGCTCCCTCCCAACTCGGTTGACTGTTCCTGTGTCGGAACCAAACCCAAGATTGGCTCATTCGAGGGTAGCAACAATCTGACTTTTCTGGGTCCTCCCCTCCTCCTCCTCCTCCTCTCTCTCCAGAACGGAAAAAAGTAGGTCTCCATCACGCACATGGCCCCATTCCTTTCGGACGCTCGTAGGGGAAATTAATTTCACCGACCAAGAGACAGACTGCATGAATCTAGCTATCTAGACTAGAGTCTAGCCTAGAGAGACATGTGTGTTTTTCGCCGACTCGCGCATTTTTTTTCCGGAACACGGCGGATTCCCGGATATCGAATCATCGGCACGGAATCGACCACCCAAGGGTCCACCTAAGCAGTCAAACTGCGTGGAAGCTGTTGCTCGGGTCGAATAATGACGATGATAATTTTCCTTGCGCCGGCGCGAACAGACCAACCGGGTAAAAGAAACGACCTGGAAAACTAAGTAGAATAACACCACTCAGGAGTGAGTTCGCAGCCGACTAAGCGACCGGCACATGCTGTTTGCTGGATAGTTCATGATGGTGATGATGGAGACCATGACGCTGCATCATCATGCGGTTTAGTCTCTGCTTTGTCCGAGCGTATCTGCTGCCTAAACAGCGGCGAACGACGCTTTTCCAGGATGCACTAGTCAAATGAGTCTCTGCGGGCTAAACCGCCGATGATGATGACATCGAAGCGACTGTCAGTCAGTGCTGTATCAGCTGTCTACCTATTGTGGAAAAATAAGAGCTTTAGCATTAGCTGCAGGCATCAACGCCGTAGTGCCTACCTCCAAGTGGACGGGGAAATCACGAGGATTTCTCGGGTTGGCTGATTCATGCCCATCTCTCCGAGTGGGTGCATTTGTCGCAGTTCTACTAAGATACGCACACGCATACAGCGCCGAACGGAAAGTCGCCGTCCAATATTGGGCGAACAATTTTCCTGGGAGATACTCGGGTCCTAGCCGACCACGTTTTTCCTTTTTTTTTTTTTTTTTCCTGTTCCCTTTGTGGAAATCGAAGAAAAAAATAAAATCAGGCTGAAAACATCTCGACGCAGACGGCCCGATTGTTGAGACCGGATGGGTTGATGGTCGGCCTTGGCTCTCTCAACGCAAGTCGGGAAGTTCGACGGAAACCTTGACGCTTCAGGAAGATGGCCCGCCCGAAGGTGCGGAAAGGAAAAATTAAATTCGTTGCTTTGGGTCGGTTTTGTTGTGTTGCGAAACAACCGTTCCCGCCATTCACTCGTATCACGTAAGAAGTCATCGTCTTGGTGGTCTGAGAAAAGGTCGGCCTGAGGTTATTGGAGGGGCACAAGTGGACATTGGCACATTGGTCGAGTTGTTGACTGAGTTTTTCGGTTAAGTAAAAGGTAAGGAGAAAGAGAGCAGAATTTGCTCTTCCATTCCTTCACCCAAGACCAAGTTCACACACCGAAGGCTTGTCTTGAAGATATTTTGCTGTTTGTGTCACCGGTGCAGCCTTGTGCCTGTTAGTCATCCATCATCCGTGTAGCGAGCCGAGCTTGGCACTTTGCGACAAATTATGGACCAAGCAGTCAATTGTGAATCGAACAGAGAAAGACATAACTGCAGCAATAAATTTTGAAGGGGAACGCCCCAAGGATTTATACTGCGCTCTAGCTCCCAGCTTTCAGTCAGGGAAAAAAAGGGGGAATCGGGAGGCCGATGCTTCTTATACACAACAGCGGACTCGGCACGCCGGTGCCGAGTGTCAGAAAAGGCCATCTCGGTCTGGATGCCGGAGGTCTCGGAGGGTCGAGTCACGAGGACAGCCACAAAAGGAAGAGAAGTAGATAGAAAGGATGGAAGCGAAGAGGAGACTTGACTGCCAATAATAGCCATTCCGGGAGGGGGGTTCTAACTGCGTCTGGCTTCACCTGGGATCAAAACAGGGCATGGGCGCGATCCCATTGTTGTTGTAGTAGAATCGCGAAAAGTTACGCATGACAGCTACGACGGTTCTAGAACGCCCTCTGAGCTTACAGAGCTGGTCGGTAGATAGGCGTCAAGCCAGGAAGAGCCTAGGCGATTGTCAACTGGTGTGGGCAGGTCGGTGGTGTGATTTGGTATATATGAATGTATGTGTTGTTGGTACTTTGTCTTGTTTTTTTACTTATTATCTACTGGTGAATAATAACATTTGCTGTTGAGTGGCTTAGGTTGTAGTTAGAAACTCCGTATTTCCGGAATGAATCCAGAGCCACTGGCAACGTTGTCTGGACACACGAGAGGCACGGCTTTTCTCATTTGCTGGACTACCCACGTGTAGACGTTGATTGGGACCACCTTGATTGTTGGTTACATAACCATGCACAGGCACTACATAACTGAAGTACTTTGTACACTTAATACAATTCATCCGACCTTGCTGACTGTGCAGATGAAATCCTCCGTACAGTTTGATGTTTGTTTGCAAGAACTCGGCATTGTTTCTCTGATTGAACCATAACAAAATAATAAAAAAAAAAGTACTTCAGAACTCAATCTATAATTAACACTAATATGATAAGTATTAACTCCTCCCTGTCTTTCACTCTCATCTTCCAGTGCATTCCTGGACTGTTCGAAGACCCGATCGGTAGGTGACACTGCATTCATCCGGGAGACCTGAATGCATGCAGCCACAGGGCAAGACACGGACAGAGTCTTCACACTATCATTGGCATCCACCCCCCCTAAATTATTGCAGGGCTCACTCGATGTCTTGTGTTACCTCCCATCCATCTCTTGACTCCTTGCTTACTTGGGATAATGAGCGACCTCACTTCGACCAATCTTGGGATTGGATATACGTATCAGACATCCAGCAGGAGGTATGTGTAGTTGCCTCAATAATCTATCCTTCGCAAGGAGTTCAAGAACATAACTAGTAACATAATCCCGCGGCGTAACACCCCTGGAATGCCAGGCTAGAATCACGCCACAACACAACATTCCAGCCAGCCACAGTATTCGATAGATGGACGGATTTTCGCTGTCTCCAGTAAATAACTTAATTATTGGAATGCCGCTACTCTCCTGTCGAACCTTATCTGAGATTCAGCCGGCTGGTCGGGTCCGCTCTGTGCTCCTTGCTTGGGTGGTACTGAGCTTTGGGTGTGACTAGTACTAGTACTAGAAGCGGAATATATTTGTTCTGTTCGGTAGATAGTAGTGGTAATAGTTACAACGAAAGTTAACTACTGCACGGGAACTTACTGTAACTATCAATAGATTTTCCTAGTCTCTAACCTTTTTCGAGACTATCTGGCCGATAGAGTATTACTTATTGCCTGTCAAGTTCAGGGGTAAGTAACAAATCTATCCATCTCGTCGGGACCAGTCAACTAGTGTGGCGTGGGGAGAAAAAAGCAAGCACGTTTGTTCTCAACAATTCGTATCCAGCTCCGATCACGCAGTGTATTTTAGGCAATGTAGGCAGCCGTTCGTGTTGCCATCGTATTTGCTGATCGTCGAGCCACTGCAACCCTGATGGGATGGTTGGGTCTGGCCGGCCTCGATGATAGGTATGTTTGCATCGTTCGGCAACTTATGTGGCTTGCAAGAATTCAACTGGCTAGTGTGTATGTAAATAGTACGTTTGATGAGATATGCCATCGGCCGAGAGCAGGGTCTGGACTACTGGTATGGATTGACAGTAATTGAATCTTCGAAATGACTATTGAATTATTCGGGGGCGCATCGTGCATAATGGAGGTTGTTGGTGAGGATATACTACTAGTACATACTACTTTGGACTACTATATATATACAGCTAGTATTATACGCGGATGATGATCACCAGCTACTACTGTTTACCACATGAATAGGAATGAATAGTATATGAATAGTATAAATACTATGGACGAGATTCTTCCGAGACACTTTATTACTTCAGTTCGATTATGATCGATGAATTCAAAAGTTGCCTACATATAATGGAATTGTGCTTATTCCCTTCCTCCCCCCTTTGGTCTGAATTCTCAGACGATCCCATCGCGTGTTTCACGTGTCTGTTTCGATCGACCAGCTGCAGGCTTACCTGCAGACTTCGCTTAAGTTCTTCGTACTGACGAATTGCTGGGGATTCGACTCTTCTCCCACGACAGCATACTTGAATCGCAACTCCGCGAAATTGAACTGCATGAGACCCTAGAGATAAGTATTTACTTGTCGGGATGCCGAACCACCGCACTGACAGGAAACGAACTCCAGCGCCTCAGGCACCGACCACACAGGATAACCCCAGACTGACGTCGCAACTGTCACAAAAAGCGCCCGTCCGTCGCCACGCTTGTCGCGCCCGACGATCGTCGCTCACGCAGGGAAAAAGCTAGACTACCTTCCAACACGCGTCTTGATCCTTGCGAATAGGAGACTGGACTCTTCTAAGAAATGCCTCAAAAACTCCATGGCACAGGCACAAATGACGTCGTCAAGGCACGGGCCTGCTGGGATAACCTGAAACTACGACTAACTAAGTTACTGTACGGCTGACGGAGCGAAAGCCTTGACCCCTGGGGTATCTTTTGAGATCCCTGCCAGCCTCGCCCTACTTCGAAACCCCGTCGCATCCATCGGCAGACTTACCTCATGGACATCGCAGAAGCGACACTGTCATCTGATTGTAATCCACGCCAAAAGATCCAAAATGATTCGATATTAACACTAACAATGGTCTTTTCTTCAAAGGAGGATTTCCCTGGTTCATCGCCGCAATCCTTCCGAGGTCAAAACTCTGACTTGACGCACCTGAGTTCGCACCATGGGTGCAGCAGGCTAACTTGCCGAGAACGGGTCTGGCAAGAAAAAGCACCTCGCAGCGCGAAATTAACACGACCTCGTTT